TTTTTTTTTTTTTTTTTTTTTTTTTTTTTTTTTTTTTTTTTTTTTTTTTTTTTTTACCTGAGGTGAAGCTATTCCTGATTCCTGTATTGACACATGGACTGGTGCTGCTGCAACACACAACATAGTTATTCTCAGTATTTAGGCAAAATATTATACTGTGGATTTTAGTGACATTTCCTTAAATGCAAAGTAAAATAAAAATTAAAAAGTAATCATTTTTTTCTGCAAAAGACCTATCACTACCAGGCCTGTTCATTCTTCTCTAAGTTACTATGCAAGTTTAAAAAAATCCAAGTGAGATTTGAGTGAAAAATCAAAGTCAGAATCCCAGTTGAAACTTTGCACACTTGTAAGTAAGGTCCTACCAAGATGAATGCATATTGGTAGGGCTGTGGGAAGGTACCTGCAATGTTGCCAGTTATGTTGTTCCTGTCCTGGGCCTAACAAGACATTAGCATGCAGGGATATCACATCAGCACTTTTTCCAAACAAAACATTCAATTTTAAAAAAGTTAGCCAGTCCATTTATACACTGGAATCTGAAGGTTAACTTTGCTTTCCAAGTCCAGCTTACAGGTATGCACCGAGGAACAATTTTTAGTCATAACCATATCTATTAAAAAGTTACCCTCTTACAATGTCTGTTAATTAAAATCTCTCATTTTAGTTAGCTGACCCAGTTTTGTTTTTCTCCAGCTTGGCTTTCTAATCGGAAATGTTTGATCAGAACTCATTTGGTTAATTTGAATGAAAATAAGAACAAAAGACATCCTACTATTTAAAAAAAAGAAACAGAATATTACAGGGAAAGAAAAAAAAAGCAAATTTAGTAGTACAAAATTCTGTTTCCTAGTTAATACACTTGATCTTAGCCAAAAGGCCGATACTAAATCCTAATTTATACTAATGTCTACTCAGACAAAAATACCTGAAAATCCATTTTAATCTAGGTTACACTGATTCTTTGATAAGTGAGTGAAAGCAGGATTTCTTCCCAACTTTCTAGCTGTCTCTTTGCATAAATAAATCACTTATTTAAATAGTTTGTGTACATGGCAATGGATGCAGCTACACATTCATTAATCGCTGTAATTACAGTGCATTGTTTAGTACCTGTAATAACATGCACCAACTCAATGTGCTGTAATCAGCACTACTGCACAGTAGGGCAGACAAACGGTGTTTTGGTGATGCTAATGCGCAATAGATTAATTAGTACAGTTTTTGCACAAGAGAATTACTATTGTGCATCAATGCACAACAGAATTACTCTACTGCGCAGTTAGCGTCTTAGGTAGACGCACCCAAAGATGTACAGTAAAATCTGGTTCATTCATCACTCTAAGGCAGGGGTGTTAAACTCGCCTGTTCTCTGGGTTAGATCCAGACCAGGGGGCTCTTGTGGGGAAATTAACATGGCCATTGTTCACTTCCAGTTGCTGACCAAGAGGGCTCTGGCACCTTGGATTTTGGTGATGGGCCCTGCCCTTGAATTCCCAGCCCCTCTAAGAGCATGGCAGACTATATCCATCCCACAGGCCACATTTTTGACTCCCCTGTGCTAAGAATGACTAATTAGCCATCAGTGACTATTTATCAATAGTTAGCCGTTTTTAACTTTTTGTTTTATGCATGCTAAAGCAGACACAGTAAGGAATTATTTTTGACATATATAATGAATAAAAAAGGTATTATTATGAAAATCTAGAGTGCAAATTATACACACATTGGCATCCTATGAGAATGATAACATTATGTGCATAAATGCTTAGTGTATCATTTCTTGCTATAAAAATTCATAATACTCACTACATAAGAATTCCATGATTACAAATGGAGTAATATAATCCAAGATTTTTGCTTTGCATTCTTACAGGCACTAATCACCAAAAGAAAAAAGAATTTGCAACATGGAACAGTGGAATATGACTGGTTTAGCCAAGAAAAGCTGAAGGGTATCCAATGCTTTGTAAGTTTTAGTGTGGCAATAAGTGATGGGCAATTTACTGGTTTTCTATATTAATTCACATCAAGAATGATTGGGGGGGGATGACGGAGCACTGCGCACCCCCCCCCATGCCACCGTCACCTCCCACGAGCTGGGGGGAGGGGAGTTTGCACACAGTGGCCACCACTGCCAGCCACCAGTTTGCGCTGTCACTGTTCCGCATCTGGCCACGCATTGTCCCCCCTCACCCGTCCACGTCCATCTGTGCAGAGCACTCTGATTGGTTGTTTCAGTATGCATTGTGATTGGCTGCCAAGACAACCAATCAGAGTGTTCCAAGAGTGTTACAGCCAGCCAGCCAGCCAGACAAAGCCCTTTATATATATGTAGACTAATACCAAATTTCAGAAGTATTCAAATTGTAGACACCCACTGTTGTCAAGTGGAGTGGCAGGTCATTAACACTATTAAGCCAGTCCCTTAACACTAGGAAGTAAAAAGCTTAGGTCTTTTTGTTAATAAAATTCCAAACAGGGGGTTCTTACTTTGAATGGCATGCTGTCCATTTAATGAGTGCTCTTTGTTCATATTCCATATCTAAAAAACAAACAAACAAAAAATATTATCTTTCTGTTCCTCTATTAACTAACCACAGTATCAACTTTTGACGCAAAAAAGCCTTTGCCCTCGCTTAGAAAGGGACAAGTATTTTATGAAGAGCAATCAAAGCAGCTCACGCCTTGGCAAACTGGAAAAGCTTTCAGTAAAGCACAGCTGCCCACCTTCTAAGCTACTGATGGCTGCAGTACCACAGGCTGCACTGCAGGAGGGAAGGAGGCATGCCCCATGGGCTGCACCAAATTGAGCTGCAGACACCCCTAGGCTGCACGCCTCATGGATGCTTCCCTACTGCAGCAGTGTATGCCCGTGACCCTCTCCCACGACTGCACTTACATGCCAATGATTTCACCCCCCCACTAGAGCAGTGTTTCCCAACATTTTCCAGCCCACGGCATACTTACATCAATAAAAATTTTCTGCGGCACACCTGTTAAGGCATTTCCCATCCTCATACCTATTGTAGCTCAGTGCCAATGCAAAATTCATCTGTTTATTTCTGATGGCACACTTTTGTGCCACAGCACATTGGATAGGAAACACTGCCCTAGACCATGTATCAGTGCAGGTGTCCCATGCTGCACGATGCACCCACAACCCCTTCCCACTGCACCTTGCATCTGCAAACCCCCCACTGCCCCACAGCAAAATGACAATAGAAAAGGACATTGTTATGGAAGTTGTGTATATATGTAAAAATGGTATAAAAATAGTATATACTAATCATGTAGAATATTGTGAATGTAGGCATACAGTATGATATATAAATGTACCTTTATATATTTTCTGTGTCTATACTACTTTATATAAGGATATATATAGTGCATATTACATTTCCAAAGATTAATATTCTTCTATGGGAAAAGGGAATACATTAGGAAAGCTCAAATTGCATATGTCATGATCCAATTCCTAGTAATTTAGAAGTACTCGAGGCTGACTTTTCACATTCACTCATGGTAACAGATCAAATCAGACACTAAGTTCATGGGGAAACCAAAGGACAATTTCTTTTCTCAGTGACAAAGCACAACTGTTAACTTCTAACAGTCAATGGGAAAAGTAGTTTTCCTTTGGTTCCTAAAAGTCTCACAGCCATACAAAAGGATCAAGAGCTATATTTTCTATTCCTAACTCATGGAAAAAGACCCAGTGATTTTAACAGGAGTTTTGCTTTAGTTAGAAAGACAAGGTGAGATTCCCAACCAGCAGCTAAGATAGATTAGACAAATCAAGCAATGCATTATCTTTTAAGTACTAACAGTACTTAAATTTTAATTCTCTTACTCTCCAACTTCTTAGAAGATCAATTCCTTCTTACTTCTGGCAGCCTTTATAGAGAACCCATGAATGTGGTTGATGTATTGCACACTTACCCCTGAAGAATATGGAGGGTCCACGAGAGTCAGGTTAGGAAGAGATGCCTGAAGTGCATTTATATACATTGGCTGGGCACTGCTGGGAGCCATCAGAGCTGAAAATTGTCCAGACATGAAATTACTGATAGTTATTAAAGCACAATTTTCTCCTCAAGGTAAGCATCCCTTTATACAACATAGTTCTGGCCCACGACTGAGTTTCCTAGGCACTAGTGCAAGACCAGCTTATAGTAAATAATGGTGAGATAATCAGCTTCCCCATAAAAACATGCATGTGCATAAATAGTCCCATATAATCTAATAAAGCCTTGAAATAGAATATACTCAGTTGTCCCTTATAAGGAGGGACAAATCTAATAAATACAAATTTAGATGCCTCCATATGTTTGTTTTATCCAAAATGGAATTTCCCTCATACTTACTATTGAATATAATTTTTTCATCAGAATTCTTGCCAACTCATGATGCATGTGCCAGCTTATCATATGCAAATACCACTAAAGGTAACACTTAAGACAAAATGAATAATATGCTGGTCAGCAAGGTAGGAGAACTTTATATTAAAAAATAAGGCACAAAGTTCAGCTAAATATAAAGAGATCTGTGGACAGTACAGAAGACTATTACCTTAAAAAATAAAAAAGCTATCACTGCCCGAAACAAAAAACAATCCAACTCTAAAGATATAGCATTGTATCTCAAGTACCACTTTTCAAGTTAATGAAGTGTTGAAGAACATCACAGTAGCAAAATGTTTATTTTAAATACTAGGATTTTAAGTTTTGTTGGACAGTTATTAAAACACATATATGTGAACACAGAGGCCTCCCCCCTCTATTATGCATGCCCCTTGACATAAAATGGCAAGAAGATTTCCAGTCAAGTCTTGACTGAGATTCCAGGTACACTGTGGCATGGTACTACAGCACAATGCTAACACATAATACTGTGAGTGTGCACCACTATGTATAGAAAATGAAGAACAAAGTTATAGTTCTCTGAATATCGCTGCTAATGTGATAAATGGAAACATTTCTTAAGACTAAGTTTAGTTCCTTTACATGTGAAGATACTTCTAAAATGCAATCCAATATCTTCATCCCCAGGCATGTCTGACTCATATTAATGGAGCTATTCAACTTTTGAGGTGCAAAAAGATGCAGGTGCATCTTACCTTCCTGTTTGTATTTTTGGATCTTTTTCTTCAGGTCTATCCTGTGAATGTTGTGCAAACATTCTTCAATCAGCTCCAGCTCATTAGGGGCCACCATATTTTGTTTCTCCAGATCAATCACAACAGCCAGAAAACTCTATGACAGTGACAAAAAAAGACTTACAAACTGCAGTGCCACTGTTTTGCTTCCTATCAACAGCTCTGGGAAGAATAAGTCTGTCCTCATTAGCCAAATATAACACCATAGGAAACACTGCAGATTTTACTTTAATCCTAGGCACTATGGAAATAACTCATTTTAAGCCAGGGGTATTAAACTCATCGGGCTCCCCAAACTGGATAGGTGGTACGGGGCCAGTCCACGGGCTGGATCATGCCCATGGATCCCCCTGCCCACATGCCTGATTCAATGTGCTGGTTTAGGACACCAGGTCAAGTGGGCCACGTGGCCTGGGACCCAGGCTGCAGTCCAAGCACTGTGGTCAGCACACCCCCAAGGACCAAGCTGCAGCAGGTGCTGCAATTCAGGACCTGGTCCCAGCAGGCGCCATAGTCAGCCCAGCCAAAAACCTGGCCCCAGAGGTTTGCATAGCCTTAGCCCCGGCCCCTGTGAGTGCCATGAGTGGCACAGCCTGGGACCAGCCTCACAGCCTAGGATCCAGTGTCAGTGGGCACTGCATGCAGCATGTATTCTGGGCATGCAGGGCCAGTTTAGTGCAGCATGTGGGGCAGCCCTGGGGTCACTGGGGACTATGAGGCTCTACTAGCCAGATCTGGCCTATGGGCTATATGTTTGATATCCTGGTCCTAAGCATTTATATAACTGATAGTCTGGACTAGACAAGAGTTCTTGGTGTCATATCACTAAGAACTGCTAGCTAGAGTGCGCTGCTCTTAAAGTTAGTTTTTGAGGAAATAGTTTTGCATTTCCTTGCTGATGCTCAGCCAGTCACTTGGAACCTTGCTTCACATACCATGGTGCAAAAAAAGCTCTGGGGGATTTATCAGCACCCACCCCTTCCTCCCTCCCATTAGAAAAGCCTCAAAGACCAAAAAAACAAACTTCCGAAATAACCTTGTGTTACGTGAGGACAGATTCATCATCTCTCAACTACCAAACCCCTTTGAATAGAGGAAGAGAAGTTTTGATGAAAGAATGATAAGGTTGGTTTAATAAATAAAACAGGGCATGAACACAAAGGAACATGAACATCACAGTCCTGAATATATTCCATATTTATATCTATTGGGAATGGATGGGAATTTGTACATGCTTTCAACAGGCAGTTATTTTAAGAGGAGAGAGGCTTTATTTCTACTAGTAGTGCCACTGCATAAAGCATTCTTTATTTTCTCCTCTTCTCATTTTTCTGAATCTTACTTACAGGTCCATCCTTTGGATTTTAATGGGTTCTCTTTCCTTTCAAACTTTCTTATTTCTGTGTACCTCTTCCTACTCTTTCTTTCCTTTCAATCTTTTTCCTCCTTTTTTCTGCATGTCATTTTCTTAATTAGTATCTTATTTAGCTTTAGCCCCTCATTTTCCTATTCCTCCACTTTGGAGGAAAGAGGAAACATCAATATGGAAATATAAAAAGAAGAGTTACCTTGTCTTTTGCCATCTTCATGCGTGGTACATAATCCTTGAGCAGGAAAATGAGAGAATTCACTTCTTTTTTATCCAGCTGCTCATTGAGCTCTACCATTAACACCCTGAAAGACAGATCAGCCATTTCCAAGATATTAACTTTCAGTCAGATCCTAGTTCTGCTGAAATCCTCTCCACGTTTTATTCCTAACCAAATTATAGGACAGTCCCTGTTCCACTCCACTCCCTGATTAAAAAATAGCAATTCCTGTTCATCAGCACATGGATCTCTCAGCAGGTGCAATCTGTAGGTAGAAGGAAGGTCTAGTTGCCAGGAGAAGAGACTTGAAATTTTGTTGTGTTCAGTTTATTCCTAGTTTTGGCACTGATGTTTGGATCACCTTGGGCATGCTTACATACTGCAGAACGTACTAGACCACAGATATCCCCAAGAAAGCTTTAAACAAGACTGCTCAGATACTGCTAGCAATATAGCCATGGCAGCATTGACATTCAGTGGGGTAAATTAGTCTATTTATTGAACTCCATGCTGTCATAGCTAGCTGAGGTATCAGTATGCTGCAGTTACTTCTGGGACTGCAGTGCAGACGCACCAGTTGTCATTCAAGACCCATATATTACAATTATAAGATTTACCATTGTTTCAGGAATCTAAAGGCAATCAGAAAAGAAATCACAGAGATGTATTCGCCTCACAGATGTCGGGATTTTCTCCCCACTTGATTCTCAAATGCTTCCACTTCATGTGAACAATCTGTCTCTAGTCATCGTTCAGAGATGAACTCTAATGGTGAACTCTTAACACCATTAAGAGTACATGATCATAAAGAGTACATCATTAATATCCTAAGTACTGAAGATAAGAATTATTAGTGGACTAATAAGTAGCATACAAGGTGATAGTGCTCACAGTTCAACTAGACCTTCCTCCTGTTACACAATGACTTTATGAGTAGGTTTAAACAGAACAAGACAGCAATAGCCTGAGCCAGACCTGTACATTCTAGTTCCAGAACTACAAATATGAAGATTACACAATGTTAAGTCACAGCAATTGCTCAGGATACAGTACAGATTAAAATGGGAAAAGCTGGGAACAAGAGGCAAAAACATGATTACTTCCCATTTGGACTAAATATGCTATAGTCACTGCGTTAGGAAATGATTTTCTTATGTACCAGAGCCAAGGTAGGCTAGATGGGATACAAGCTGTACTCACCTTGAACTATAAAAGTACTCTTCCTTTAATCAAACTACAAAAGCCCTCAACATTCAGCCTTCAGCAATGACAGCAACCCACCAACACAAGCTGAAGGCACAGTGATTGAGGAGCAGGAAAAATCTCCTAATAGAGAAGAGTATTTCTCTGTAGAAATGTATCCCCAGGAAAAAAACCAGCATAGCTTTCACTTCGGGCCATTTATCAGACACGATAAAGCAACTGGGGGTAAGCTGCTGGGAACTATCCAGCACACTGCAGACTCACCTGGCCCAAAATTAGATAAAGTCAAAGTGATGAAAAAGTTCACCAAATGTAGTGCTGCTGGAGAGAAGAGGGGGTCAACTTTTTTGGAAGGAATGCTACGAATTAGACCCACATGCTCTCCAGGCCCCGTTCTGATCCCCTTCCCCTGCCTCATATGTTGCTCTGCTTTCTACTTCCTATCCTGTGCTCCTTGTCTAACCTGCTGCTCTGCTTTCTGCTCCCTGCCCAATCTGCCAACTGTGCCAACCATCTCCTCTCCCCCCCACCCAAAAATCTGCAACTTGCCACACAGAAGCTGGCTGTGGTACTTGTGCCACAGGCTGACCACCCTTGCTGCAGAAGAACTTTTCTATCTGTTCATATCTACATTCATCTTCCTTCTGGCTACAAAAGCATCACTGGTCCCTATTTCTTAATGTATATGTTTCCTGCTATGAAACTGGAAGGCAAACAAGTGTGATACCAGTCCTTTTAATAGCATAGCTCTAAGCCTTTTATAATTTTGCAGAATTCTCTTTTCCCTTGTTTTTTTTAACCTTTAAATTGTATCTTTTTCTGTTATAAAAAGACCAAGAAAACAGCTGAACAAACAAGCTACCTTTGAAAAGGGAAATGCATGCATTACCTGTAATCAGAGACCAATCTAGGATACCTGGCCAGATCAGCTTCTACTGCTGCTTTCTGAGTCCTCAGGGACCTCTTCAGCAAGTCAAATCTCTTAACTCTGTATAACAGCTCAGACAAGCCAAGGCGTGACAGCTTTCCCCTCTCATTCAAAGCCCCTAGAAGCTCTCGGAGGTCTGCACTCGGTAGATCAGGAACGAAGTCCCGGCACAAGAAGAGCATCATCTCCTTTTCATCTTCATCCAATTCTTGCTCAATCTGGTGAATGAGGGCAGCTGGCACTTGGCAATTTGTCATCCCAAGTTGGTGCACCTTTAAGTTTACAAGGCTTCTTTGTGTTTTAAACAGGAAGCCAACATATCCTGAAGTCCATTTTTAGCACCGTTTCACTGGCTGTTGATCTTAATTGGATGAGTTTTTAAATACAGAAGTTCTGCAGAAGAGAATTACAGGTTCTGAAATAATGATTTACCGTATGAGATCTCAGCAAATGCTTCCGATTTGAGACAGTCAAGTTCCAATCAAATTGCTGAATTCACTTACAAAGATCCAATATGCTTGAAGGGGCTGCCCAGTATTTCATTATGGAACCAAAAGTACTTAGTAGATTAGACTTAGCAGAGAATGAACTCCATTTAAAGTTAACCAATCTTAATTACGTAAGTCTGTAAAAATTCCATAGGAAGTGAAACAAGAAACTGCAGCCCCAACCGAGTACAGATAAACAAGAAACCTTTTAAAAATGAAGTGTTCGTATCCAGGGAGATAAAAAAATCTTAAACTTGTTTTTCTTTCAGAAAAGAAAGAAACCCAACAGAAGCCTCAATACATTTTTCAGGAAGTTAAAAAGCCAAGACAGGAGTACTTTTTAACTGGAACAGAGAATTGTCTAGTAATCACAGCAACTATTAGGCAAACAAGGAATAGCATGTCTACATTCAAATTGAAAAACCCTTGTAAAAAACAAGAAACATTTATTTGGAAGTATATTCAATGACATGACACACTTCACCACTATTATCTCTTTCAACAGATACAGCCAACCAAAAGCTAGT